CCCCGTGCGCGCAGCAATGGGGGACGCTTGTACCTCCCGGAGGGTGGAGGCGCTCGACTGGGCCCATGGCTCGGTGGGAACAGCGGCAAGGAGACCAAAGCCCGCAGCGATCGTGCTGACGCTGCAGTCTCATGCTGCAGCCCCACCCTCCTCCTCCCGAGGGCCCCCTGGCACCCCTTACTCACTGGGCAAGTAGCCCTAGCTGGGCCTCAGGATGCCTATGGACATGGGGCCTAAGACTGCGCGCAGGTACCAGGAGCAAACAGGCAGCGCAGGAAGGTGAGGATGCCAGCAGCAGCGACATCGCACTGCAACTGATGGAAAAAGGAAGAAGAGCTGCGGGTGGCGAAACACCTGCAGTCCCATGCAATTTCACGTAGGAGATTGCTGCCTCCAAATTCGCATGGAGGCAAAATCTGCTGGATGACAAACGACAAGAAAACATGTGCCTGGTAAGTCAGCCACCCACCATCCAGGGCGACTTCAAAGCCGCCGCTCAGGGTGCGTATCTTTGGTGGCGGCGACTGCTTGTTGATGGCGTCCCTGTGCTGGCGGATCGACTCTTCTGCAGCATGTGCTAGTGCCAGCAAATCATAATCCATGCCCATAGCTCTCACTCCTGCAGTGGCCCAGGCTGAAATTGGACCTGCGACAGAAGATGCTGGCCCCGAAAGATGCGCTCGCGCCCAGTTTGCCATGACGGGGTCTTCTGCCGCTGCTGCTCCTGGCACTTCTTCTTCTTCTTCTGCTGCTGCTGCTGCTGCTGCTGCTGCTGCTGCTGCTGCTGCTGCTGCTGCTGCTGCTGCTGATTTTTCGTTTCAATGGCAACCAGATGGCGTGGACAGAATCAACCTGCGAGACACGCAACAAGCACTGGGCCACACCGTGTGCTGGGAGGCCACCGCTGCTGTGGCTGCTGACCAAAACGCTGTCGCCGCTGCAGAGGGGTGGCAACAGGCAGCAAGGCCAACTTCAGGGATGCCCCTCTGCCTGTGCCAGATACAGAGGCTCAAGAGTTTGTCGTTCAATAATTCTACCCATACAGAGCATTCACACAGGCAAGCGGAACGGCCCGCAGCGTGACCACTTGAGAGTGTGTAAGTGAGATCAAGATACACGAGGCAGCGATGAGCGCCGGCAGCCCTAACGCACAACCACCCGTTAAGTATGATAAAGAATTGGTATCAGAGAACAGAAGGCTCCCAGGTTTGAGTTCGGATTGCAGGCAGATCGTGCCGCAAGACTGTCGTGTGTGTTCTGAGCCTCGCAAGGGGAATACCGGCAGGTTCGACAAAACATCGGCAGCTTGTATTGCCTAACAGCACCGAAGCGGTCGTTGCCAAATGTGCGAGTGGCATGACTGATGTGAACGGCCCGCAACGTCAATGAGTCAACCGCATGATCGACATGATAATCGTGACAGAGTTGCGAGCTGGGCCGGCTGCACAATGCTGAAGCCTTGTGTCAGAACCACCATCATGCCAGCTATATCATTGTTACATGTACAATGACGCAACAGCCCGAAGATGAGTCCATCCACGGATGCTGCCTCACCAATAAGCAGCGCCTGGGAAATGTGTCGTCACTGGGCGCGCGCCGCCTCTGAAAACTCATGCAATGAGTGCTGCTTGTCTGTCGTCGTACGACCAGCGTCAGCATCACCATTACAGCATGCATATACACCTACCCTGCGTGACCGCCTAGAGCGAATGCATATATACTATGACGGGGCAGTGTGATCGGTGCTGGTGCAGCATGCTGAGCCGCGAGGACGACGGAGATGAAAAAGCATCAAAGATGGGACACACTTCCACAGTCTCATGGTTGCCGCAAGAAAGCGCCAAAAGATTCAGTGTGTGTTGGCAATGGAAAAGAGCCAAAGGCAGAGAACTTTGATGGTTGTCACGGCTAAGCGAGCTGCTTTTTGGTGCCACAGCTCTGGAGCAGGCGGCGGGGCTCGCATGTAGCAGCCCGGCAATTCTTGTTTGAGCCCACTCTCTCAACTCCATGAGGCACGGCTTCAAGCCAACTGCAAAGCAGCTTCATCCGTTAGTTAATCAGCTACCTACAAAAGACGCGAGGCAACTTGATTGTGCCGGGGTCACCCAGGGACGCTAACCCAAACATCCAGTGGCAGCAGCAGGCGCAGGGCGGCAGGGCGGCCGGCGCCAGGACTGCAAGCAGCGCGGCGCGCAAAGCCGGAGCTTGGCCTTGCGGGGATCACTGGCTGTGCAGGGGAGCGACGGCTGAGGTTGCTGAGAAGTGGAGCTGATGCCCAAGAGCTGCATTGCCGCTGCGCAGCCAGGTATGCAAACCTCATGGTACACCCGACCCGCTGCATGCAATCGAGCGCGCCTGCTGCCGCAGGCCAGGGAACTGGTGCGCCACTGCACATTCAGCAGTGGCTGGCCGGCGGCGTATCAGAAAATAGTGTGTGTGGCGGCGCTGCGCGGAGCATGGGGCGCAGCGGGCTGCCTGCCCCCTGAGGGCGCAAGGCGTGGCATGCGGGGCGTGGCGCACGCAGGGCGTGGCGCACGCGGGGCGTGGCGCACGCGGGACAGCCATGCCCCGCGGGGCAGAGTGCACGCAATGCAGCACGCCACGCACCCGCCGCGAGCCGCTGCGCGCGGCGTGCGGCGGCGCGGCAGACCAGGCGCGCTAAGGCCGGCAGCCGCCTCAGGGGTTGTGGATTCCGATGTCCTCGATGCTCTTCACCAGGTCCTCGATGCTGGTCGCAGTGTACGTGGCTTGAGCACAGGGCGCAGGGCCCCAGGCGCGCGGCGTGTGAGGGGCGCACGGCACAGCACACCGCACGCCCGCCACACACATGCAGCAGCCCGTCCGGGCAGGCGCCTTTCAAGGCCGCCTCGGGTGCTTCAGAGGCTGATGTCCTGGATGCTCTTCACCAGGTCCTCGATGCTGCCCACGTCCTCGGGCCTGTTGATGGGCTTTTTGGGCAGGGGCTGGATCCTCAGCTGCTTCATGGTGGCGATGGCGTCTGCCAGGGCCGCCGTGGCGTCTTGCTGCTGCGGTCGCTGCTGCTGCTGCTGCTGCTGCTGCTGCTGCTGCTGCTGCTGCTGCTGCTGCTGCTGCTGCTGCTGCTGCTGCTGCTGCTGCTGCTGCTGCAGGGGCCGCGGCAGCGGCTGCGGCTTCCGCCGCGCCAGCTGGCCGGGAGGGGCCGCCGTCTCGCCGCTGGCGGCCTGGCGGCCCTCCTTGCACGTCAGAGGGGGAAGCACGCCGCACTGGGACCCGGGGGTGTCGTGCGTGCATAGGAAGGATGGGGGGAAACTTTGCACAGCATTTGAGGGCGCACGCTGGGGCGGGGAGCGCTGGCGCTCGGGTGGCGGCTTCTGTTCGGTAGCAAAGAGGGGCGGCTGGAGTCACACACAAGCTCACGCAGGCGTCGGCACCAGCACTCACTGCAGTGGCGGCGAGCGCAGCAACAGGCAGGCCGCTAGTTGTGGAAGATGCGATGCATGCGAGGTGCTGGCATTGTCACCATTTACAGTGTTCCTTGTTGCAAGCAGCCACGCACCACGATCCCGTACAGCCACAGGAGGAGGAAAAGCAGGCCGGGCAGCCGCAGGATGTGCATGTCCGCCACCTGCTCTGTCTCGTGTCCTGCAAATTTGGGCGCATTCAGACGTTCATGTGTGAGTGCAGTTGATAATGGAATCAACAGGTGGATGACAAAAACACAGTATCAGAAGTTGCGGTGCCATGCAACTGACAGGTGCCCTGCTGCAGAATGCAGGCGGGCCTGCCAAACTGCAATCGGCTGACGAGGCAATTGCTGCGGCAGAGTCGCATGGATGTCAACAACTAACCTCGGAGGCACCGCGACCAAGACGCTGACGTGCATATGTGAGCGACGCTCATGCTTGTGCCCGCAGGTCCAGTACCGCACACACGCACCTTGGTAGCGCTCTGTGGCGTCCTTGACGCGCGTCAGCTGTATGAGGGCGGGAAGCGCGTCGTCCGGGTGCTCCCTGCCAAATTGCTCGTTGCTATACCAACCATAACCCTTGGCAGTGCAGGGGGTATGTTTCAGGTCATCTCTGAGCTTTACAAGTTCGCTGAGGTGCACCTCTAGCTCCTCAAGCGAGGTGGCCTCGTCGAGTCGTCCTGCCCTGCGCTTCTCGCGCAGCCCTCTGATCTGCCCTGGCAGCACGCCGATAGCATTTTCGACGCGTTGCATGAGCTTTTTGATTGTCTGAATAACTCCGGCGCCCATGCCGAGGATGGTTTCGATCACGTTGCCAGGGATCTCGGCGCACGAGCTCTCGAGCATGCCGCGAATCGTGAGGCGCTCCATGTTTGTGAGAGTAAAGGTGCAAAGGTACACGATATCATAAGAGAGCAGCTTGGAACGAAATAGTTGTGCTGCACAGGCAGGAGGCTGATCAGTGACAATGTCAGGTTTGCGCCACTGCCAGTGTTGCAACTACGCCACTGTAAACGCAGAGACAAATTGTCTTGATTATGATAATCGTTTGGGATTGAGAGGTTTCAGGGTCCAATGGGCTTTGCTCCAGCCTTCACACCTTACTACCGCAGCAGCAGTTGGTTTTGGTGGGCTGTGCAGAGGATTACGCGGCGCCGTGCGGACGGCAGCATGAGGGTTTTAGACGTTGAAGTTCAGTGGCACGGTCTGCCGGTGCCGCACAACTGCATCATGGTGGGAGGACGGCGACGAGCCAACTAGCAGCCAACGTGGCTTAATGACATACAAACTCGTGCGCACCCTGTGCGGCGGCCCTGAACTCACGGGCCTCCCAGCTCACCCCGTCCAGCAGGCCGATGTTGTGCAGCTTCAGATCCACCATCAACAAGCCGGCGTCGTGCTTCCCCGTCAGCCCCTCCAGCATCAAGGTCAGCACACGCGGCTGCATGCGCCAGGGGATGCCAGCCAACAGGGGCCAGAGCAGGCAGCCCGCGTGCGCGCCCCGGACGTCGCGCGCGCCCGCGGGCATCGGCCGCGCCAGGGTCCGGCAGCGCCAGCAGCGGGAACGCCGTGCCGAGGGGGCCGCCGAACATGACGCCCGGCTCCGTGGCAGCGATGACAATGAGGGCGTCCAGCATCTTGGAGCAAATGGGCACGATCTGGAGCAGCCAGAAGCTGCCGTTTTCCAGTGTCTGCAGCTCTACACGTTAGGTGGAGCAGGGCCGGCGAGCGCGCCAGCAGGAGGGGCAGCAGGCCGCCCAGGCGGGAGGCGGAGGCGGCGCTGGGCCTGCTCTACAGGATGCTGCGCATCCATCCGCAAAACATCCCAGTCAAACATGGCGTGATGGGCAGCTGGCCCTTTACACTGGTGCACAGGCGCACCTCTCAGGGGCACTGCCAGGCTGGCCGCTGGGCTCTGATACCAAATTGTGAGAGCTGCCCGGCCTCCTTAACAAAGCAACCTGCCGCACATCAGGGAGCAGTTGTATAGAACATTTGGGTAACGGCTTGCAAGGGGTCGGGGGCATTCAAACACATTTGAGCAGGTTGTTTGATGTTGCAGCATGCCCTTGCGCTCGCCTGTGCCAGCACAGGTGGGCGTCACCGCGCGGGCACAGGTGAGCCGGCAGTCGAGTACAGAGAACTGCCACTGCAGTGCGACATGCAAATGAGTGATTTCACACGGATGCACTTCACACCAACGTCCTAACTTTCTTGAGTTTGCTGCAGCGTCTCAAGCTGCGGGCGCGGGTGAAAGATCACCGCGTTGATCTCCTCAAGGTGAGAGCGCTCAACAGCAGCACCAAGCAGGCGCATTGTGCTCTATCAAAAAATAAGTTCTCAGTGAAGTTGCGCGTTTGTCTGTGGTGAACCTTTTTTGTGTGGCGCCGAGCGCCACACACGCGGGTCAGTGCTCTTGCTGCTGCAGGCGCAACGGGCCGGAATCAACTGCCTGCGGCTTGCACCCGCGTGACAGCTAAGTTACAACGCTTGCATTTGCTGTTGCCAGGTGGACGGCAGCGGCCGTCGCGCTCCTGCGTGGCTGTGGTGGTCACCGCCCATCGACTGCCCTGCCCTCGTCGCCCCGGGTGAGCACAACTGTGAATGCTCATGCCGGATGGGCGCTGCGAATGGGACCCTGCACTCTGGGCCCTGGGCAATGAGGCGCTCTGCAACAGGGTTTTGTGCGGCCTACCCGTGCATAAGCGCGCTGAGCAAGTTTGTGCTCAACATGCAGGGACCTGCGCCAGGCGCGCACCAGCTTGTCCACATCAGGATGGTCGAGGTGAGCCCTGAAGTTCCTGGCGGCGAGCCCGCTTGCGTTTCTGTGCGGGTGGCAGCACATCTGCCATGAGCGCATATAATTGTCTCCATTGACAAATGCATACACCAGCATTTCACTCCGCATGAGTGTGCCATTCCGCACCCGCTACACCACCTCACCTGCTTACAGGGCCACCAGTGCCACCGCGTGGCGCACGCACACAGGCAGCTGCTGGTCGGCCGTGCCTTCAAGGCCACCAGCCCCAACGGCCGCTTCGCAGACGGCGCCAGGGCCATCGACGGCAAGCCCCTTTCCAGGATTGAGGTGGGTGCGCGGCGGCCGGAGCACGCGGCACGGCAGCTCGACAGCGGGGCAGCACGGTACCGGGGCGGTGCGGTGGCGGACGCCGCCACCAGGGCCTCTGATGCGTGCAGCGTCAGGGAGCCCGTGCAGCCGGCGGCTAGCAGGGGTGGTCAGCCGTTCCTGGCTGAGGGCGGGCTGCCTGCTGTGCCTGTGATTTGCTCAGCCTCAACCAGCCTGTTTTCAACACCATGAAGCGAGGCATTCCTGAGATCAGCATCCCGCCTCGCTCCAACCTGTCTCCTCAAGGTCCATGGGAAGAACCTGTTCTACTTTTTTGGGGAGAGGCAGGGCGGCCAAGAGGGCAACGCGCTCGCAGACGTTGTTCATATCCACTTTGGCATGTCTGGTAGGGGTTGGGCTGGCTGAAGGGTCGACTGGGGTCTGCGCGACTCACGCCGCACCTGCTTACACTTCGACATTTGTTTCAGCCCATGGCTTCCTTTCATTGCCATACCTTGCCCAACGTCCGCCACCGCGCGACCCCTGGCCAGGCGCGTTCCGAACAATGCCCGCGGCCCAGGAGGCCCAGAAGCCGCCGCGGGAGACGACGCGGCTGCGGCTGGAGCACCCTGGGGACGGCCTGGTGGCGCACTTGAGCGCCATGACGGTGGCCCACGGCGGCATGGAGCTGTATCATGAGAAGGTGCGGGCTGTCTGGCAGCCCCGCATGGTCTGGACACAGAGACGAATCCCAGAGCGCCTTGTGCTCCGCATGTCAAGCTCGAAACGTGCGCTGCATAGCAGCAGCAGGCCGCCATTCACGTAGACGCTGCACAAGGGCCCAGAACCCTCTTGAATCGGCTGCGGTGTGCGAAAGTCACCCAACCCGTCCTCCGCTGCCGTGCCCCACACCCTTGCGATGCGAACCCCAGAGCTCCAAGCTTGGCCCAGACCCCCTGAGGGAGGATGCGGACCCGGAGCTGCTCTGGGCGAAGGTGGGCAGCTTCCCCCTGCTGACGCCCCCCCCCCCTTGCACTGCCAGCTGTGCCATTAGCAGACCAGGGTCAGCTGCACAGCGCCTGTGGATGCGAGGGAGTCCCAGGAGCATGCCCCAGCAGGCAGCTGTTTATTTGAGAGGGCTTGCCTTGGTAGTTTTTAAAACCCCTGCGCCTGCCTCACGCAAGGCGTGCCGTCGTCTTCCTGGCTGCCGCTGCTCCGTCTTGCTCGCAGGTGCAGAAGTGCAAGAAGCCGATAGGGCTGGTGCTGATGGACCAAACCATGATGGCCGGTGAGCTGGGGAGGCCAGGGCCGCAAGAGACGGTGGAGGGGGGGTGTTGTGTGAACAGTGCAGGCGTGTCAGCCGGTCTGCACATGGGCAGGGGCTCTGTGGCGACAACGCACCCAAGGGCATACCTACATGAGTGTTAACGGCACATGCGCTTGCGCGCGGAAAGCCAGCCGGCCAGCCCTCTCACAGCCCTCTGCCCCTTGAGTCCTCAGCCTCTGCCTCATCCCCACTGCGATTCCCGTCTTGTATCCCATGACCCAGGTGTGGGCAACATTTACAGGGCAGAGGTGCTCTACAAGGTGGGGGGCCTGATGATCGTGCAATAATCAAACAGGCAGACGGATTCTGAGCATTGCTTTTGCACGCGAGGCGCTTGAGGTGTCAGACCAAGTAAAGGCAACTCATGAGATCCGCTTGGGCGCAGAATGATACACCTGCCGCTGTCAACGCTCGCCGCGCCCTGCTCCTTTCTCACTAGCAGCACCGCCCTTGTTGAACGCCACCCTCTCAGGCGGCCATCCACCCCGAGCAGCCGGCGAACACCCTCAGCCGCGACGCGTTCGACACTGTGTGGGCGCACTCTGTTGAGCTGCTGCAGCGCGGGTTCACCAGCGGCAGCATCCTTACGGTATGTACGCGTGCGTGCGCGCGTGCGCGCGTGCGTGTGTGCGTGTGTGTGTGTGTGTGTGTGTGTGTGTGTGTGTGTGCGTGCATCATGCGCAAACACGTGCTAGCATGCAATTTAGCAGATTTAGTGTATGTCGCTGAGCAGCAGCAGATTCTTTTGAGGGCAAGATGTTGATCACGGTGTGCACACTAGCATCGGCAAGCAAGGCAACATGTCATCTGTGGCTGACAACAGAGAGGCCAATCTGGTTGACTTGAGCTGCCGCCCGGCTGCTTCCATTGGCGTGGCGGCAAAATCCCGTGGACTGTCATGGTAACTTCATCCGACCCCCCCCCCTCCTTCAGGTTGATCCTGAGGACGCCAAGATACTGGGCAAACCCTGGACCAGGAGGTGAGAGGGAGAGAGAGAGTGATAGTGTGTGTGTATATTTATTGTGTGTGTGTGTGTGTGTGAGTTTGCACATGCGTGCATGTGTGTGCATGCGCATGCGTGAATGCGTGCGCATGCGTGCATGCGTGCGTGTGCGTGCGTGCGTGCGTGTGCGTGTGCGCATGTGCGTGCGTGCGTGTGCATGCGTGTGCGTGCGTGTGCGCGCATGCGTGCGTGTGTGCGCATGCGTGCGTGTGTGCGCATGCGTGCATGCGTGTGCATGCGCACGCGCGCAGTGACACTTGCATGTGTGAGGGATCACGGATGCCTCAACGTCTGAGTGTTGGCATTTGGTAGTTTGTGCGAAGAGAGCGGCATGTGGGAAGCACGTCGCAGGCATATGATCGGCAGTTCACCGCCTCGCTGGCACTGGGAAGGCCTCACCAATGCCGGCCCATCGAATAATGTGCTCTTGCACTATATTTTCAGATACATCTACAACCACGCCCAGTGTGGCCGCTGCAAGGGCCCAGTCAAGTCCTGGGACATGGCCAACCGCACAGTCTACTGTGAGAGCCCGGCTGCATGCGCTTTCACTTTGGACTTGAGCAGAGCAGTAGGGGGTGGATTCACACACCCGCATCTGAGCGATGATATTGCTCTTGCTGCGCACAAGCTGCACTTTGTGGTGCATCGGCTTTGTTACAGCTTGGTTGTGCATCTATTGAGTCCATGCAGCTGAGGCTCTCTGTCCTGGAAGTGCTTCACGGTCCTATGACCACTCTGGACCCCAACTTTGCAACAGGCTGCCCCACCTGCCAGCCGCTGCTTGAAGGCACCCAGGTGACGCCCCAGCGGCGCGCCTCGATGGCGGCAGCTAAGACGGCCAAGGTGGGCGCTGGCAGGACGCAACGGGAGGGCCGCACGCGTGTTGGGAAAAGGCACGGGAGCGAGGGTCTCTTGCACCCGGCGGCCACACAATATGCAATATCAACAGGCCCTTGCTACTTTGGACTACGCTTTTGGCTTCCAATTTTGCCCTGCTCCATTACTGCGGATACGACCGTCCGCTCACCTCCTTTCCCACCCCACCACTGATTACTCGTGCTTCCCAGGAGTTTGTTTCGCACTGCGCCCCAGATGACACCGGCGACGCGCCGCCCTCAAAGATGACTGTGCCGCAGCTTAAGGCGCAGCTCAAAGCGCTGAACCTCGACATCACAGGCAGCAAGGCCGCCCTCATCGCGCGCCTCGAGGCGGCGCGCGACTGGGCGGCCGGGGGCGGCGCAAAGGCCGAGGCGGCTGCAGAGGCGGGACCAAGCGGCAGCGGCGGGGACGAGCGGTGGCACAAGCTGTCAGCTATGGAGTTCTCTGGGTCAGAGGATGAGGACGAGGGCGCAGCGGCCGCAGAGGAGGCGGCGACGCTGGCGCCCGTCACGCCCGCGCCGGCGCCGCTGACGCCCGCCGCGCGCAAGCGCGCGAGAGCCGCGGCCGCGGCGGCGGCCGCGCCGTTTGAGCAGCAGCCCAAGGACGGGGCGGGCGGCGAGGAAGTCGTGGCAGGCGGCGGCAGTGGCAGTGAGGACGAGCTGGACGTGGCAGAGCGGCAGCTGTCAGAGCGCCTGGCAGCTGCAAGTGAGTGGGCAAGGGACCGGGGGCTGGGCGGTGAGGATGCGCCAGCTGGGTGGCATGCGGCTGGGCCAGCCCACATGCATGGGCACTTGTCAGTGACATTTAGGCAGCAGGTGTAACCCTGCATTTTCTTGAGTTGCCTGCATTTGCATGGTTGGCTGACGCTAGTTTGGTGCCTGGACCGACCACAATCCTCCCAGTCTGTTGCTCAATACTCACAGTCTGTCGCGCGTTCTTACCTCTCTCAACGCAGCCGCGCCCACTGCTGCTGCAGCCGCGCCCTCCACTGTCGCACAGCTCAAGGCCCAGCTCCGCCTGCTGGGCCTGCCTGTTTCAGGCAGCAAGCAGCAGCTGCTCATGCGCCTGGCTGCAGCCAGCAGCGGCGGCGTTGGCGGCGCCGCCGCCTCTGAGGCTCCGCACAAGGTGGAGACCAAAGCAGGGCGCGCGGCGGCGCCAAAGCCCAAGCGCGCGGTCAAGCCGGGGACCAAGGGCCTGGGGCACGTGGCGACGGCAGCGGAGGCGGCCAAGGAGAAGCTGCTGGCGGGAGAGAACCGCGCTGTGGAGCATGTGGCACTTGCAGATGAGGAGGCAGACGAGCTGACGCTGGGAGGGGCGAACGCCGCCGCCGATGCTCGCAAAGGCAACAGCCACGGACCAGCGGCAGCGGAGTCAGCGCCGCAGCCGGCAAAGCGGCGGCGGCGGGGCGGCGGCTGAGTCATCTGGGTCCAGTGCTTCCCAGACCTGGTGTTCATGGCCCTTTTCTGGTTGGAATTCTGCAAGTCTTTGATATGTGCAGCATGCGCACACGGTTGTCAGGGCGTGATCAAAGATTCAGATTGATCGGGTACTCTTGACGAACGTGCAAGCTCGGCAAGTGACGAAACTTCTTAGCAGCCCGTCAAACATCCCCACTACGTGATCAGCATTCACAGCCATGCCGGTGCCCCCTGCAAACGTAGTAAGTTATACCGTACCGAGTCCATAGCACTCACCTGGTGCGGGCGGTGCATGCCCTGGACAGCATTACGCAATGCCAGCCCAGGCACAGGGCGGGGTCACCGCGTGCGCGAGTGCTTGGACCCCTGAGAGCGGAAGTGCTTAGACCCCTACTGCAGCTGTTGTCCTCGCATGCATGCGTCTCATCGTCCTCCTCCTCCTAGGACCGCTGCTGGTTGCGGTATGGCTGCACCAGAGCCTAGTGGACGAATGGATGGTCCGCCGTGGTGGCTGGCCGCCCGGTGCACCTGCCGCCATCGCGCCTGGTCCCACGCTGAGAGGCTAATATCAAAAAAGGAGGAGGTTGCATGACACAAACTTATGATAAGCAGTAGAAACAGTGTGCTGTGGGTTTGCTAAAAGATCCAAAGTGATCCCAAGTACCACTCCTCACATTCATGAAGCTCATCCAGCATCCCGTTATGTACTTGCGATCAAGGCAATACATACTTGCGATCAAGGCAATAGCGTTCAATGACAGCTTCTATGGTATTTTGGTGCGTGCACATACAACATAGGCGCAACAAATGTATTTTGGCGCGGCGGTCAACAGCTGCCCATTCGCAGCCGCGGGCTCTCGGTGTTGCGGATCACGCTTCTGACACAAACAACGCTGATTATAGAGGCGGCTGAGACGGCCATGGGCGCGCCCTACAGGGCTCAGTGAAGGCGTCGGGGGTATCCTCGCTCGCGCTTCGGATGCACTTGTTAGACAGCCGCGTGGAGGAGCCGAAGAGAGTGGAACAGGAATACTTGAAGGGCCTTCGCTCGATGGCTGGCGGCAATCAAGGTGAGCGCACCTCTATTTGCGCGCCAAGGCATGCTGCCCGTGCCGCAAAGCGCACACTGTACTTCACCACGACATAGCACAGACTGTACGCACTTGCTCACTGATCTGCTTGTATATGATATGACCAACACAGTTCTGGAAGCGAACTGCTCCGACTCTGAAAACAACGAGTACAAGCTCAAGGTGCGGGGCTTGAAACACCTGGTTGGCAGGGGGTGCAGCACCGCTGTTCTGCAGATCAACGCCATGTTGGCTCAGCGGCAGAACAGCAGAGCCGATGTGGCCCTGACTTGCACAGTAACGCCTCGGCCTTTCAGAATCCTCATGCCTTCTGCTGATATCTCGCCGTTTCCATTGCCCACAGCTGGCAATCGAGGCCCGCAATGAGCGCAACCAGTCGCTGCGGGCCCTTGTCACGCTCTACAGACGGCATACGAGATCGCCTGGGCCTGGTGACAGGGGACCCTGTGGCCATGTGGGCAGAGCAGGACGAGGAGAAGCTCGCATTGTTGCTGGCTTGTGGCAGCAACAGCAGCAGGGGTGATCAGAACAAGAGCAACAGCAGCAGCGGCGGCCTGGGCCGGGGGGGTAAGAGCAGGAGCAAGGGTGGTAGCCGGGACAACACCGGCAATGTTGATGGCAGCTGGTTTGGTGACGTCAGCGGCAGCGGGGATGGCGGCGGGGGCGGCGACGGTAGTGGCAGTGGAGACGGCCGCGCCATTGGTGGTGTGCAAGGCGGCGACAGCACCAGCGAGGTCGCCCCCGGGCAGCCTGTGCGTGCACTTGTGTACGCCTTGCTGGCGGCAGCGTTTTCGCCGCCAAAAGCAGCCCCCAGCATTGCGTCAGGCCCAGCAGCCACATGCTTGCAGGATCAGCAGCAGCAGGAGGAGATGCGGGAAGAGCGGCATGACTGGGATGATGGGCAGCAGCAGCAGCAGCAGCAGCAGCAGCAGCAGCAGCAGCAGCAGCAGCAGCAGCAGCAGCAGCAGCAGCGACGGCAGCAGCACAGCCGGGCGAAGGTAACTGGTGGAGAGTGTGCTGTGCCCACATACAGCTTCAAGGTGCGCGACAACTTGCTTGAAAGACATTGGCACGTGCAGAATCACAGGTGACTTGTCAGAAGCGAGCGCGCCCTCTGTTTCCTGGGCTGTCCACCTGCAAAAGCCCTCTCCCGTGTCACACATGCAGGTGCAGAGTGTTGTCTTCAAGTCAAGCTTCAAGTTGAAGCTTTGCCGGGAGGTGGGTGCCCAATCGTCACTCAGCCAGCGCATGCACGCACAGACTTTGATTTGACTGCACAATGTTAGAGTGCTGGGTTCATTGAGCTGCCAAGGGGATGCGCGGACAAATATGCTCAAGCCTTCTTGCTCTCTGTGATTTGCTCTCACAAGCATGAGCTGCACTCCCCCACGCAGTCCCTGTCGGTGTTTGCGGCGCCCGACGCCACCAACGTGGAGTCGGTGGAGGCCAAGATGAAAGAATTCTGGCGGCAGACAAACGTGCTGCAGGCGCCACAGGCAGCTGGCACAGCACAGGTGGGTTGTTGTGTGCTGCCACAACTGGGTGGTGGCGACAGATTGACCAGGGCTGACGGTCTCCAATGCCGGACGTGCAGGGGGCAGGCGCAGGTTTTCATCACATCTATCAAATCTCGCGTGCCACTGCGTGTCCAGCGCGGGGCACGGCGCGCGCTGCGCATGGCGCCATTGTCACTCATAGACACACTTTCATAGAGGGTATGCAGAAATGCGCGCATGCGTCGTCGCCCGTTAAGATCCCTCTTGCAGGCTCAGACGCCGTGCAAACTCATGCACCCAGGAACCCACAGTATGTACCCACATTGCTGACTATTGCCTTTGCGTACGTGCAAGAAACCCCTACCCCCAACCACTTTCTGCATCCATCAGGCCGGTGGTGGAAATGATCCCACGCAGCAGGCAGCCACAGCAAGCAGGCCAGCAGCTATGGGACGCACAAGCAGCAGGAGCGGGCCCAGCGCAAGACCTGGATCCATGCTGACGCGCCGCGGCGCTGCGTCGGCGGCGGTGGCCGAGATCAGCGCGAGGCGAGAAGCGGAAGCAGCAATCGGCGGCGTTGGGACTTTGGCGGGACATGGCAGCGAAGGCAGTGGTGAGGACGGCGGAGCGGAAGAGGCCGCCGATGCGCGCCATGCACCAGGCGGCCAGAACGGCCAGCCTGTTGCGCTGCAGGGGCCGCACCACCACCAGAGACAGGATGATAGCGAGCTTGTCTTCCACCCGGGGGTCGCGTGGCAGAGCGGAAAGGAGGAGATGGGGCAGCCTGCTCAGGACCAGAGAGGGTGTGACCAGGGCGAGAGGCAAGCGAAGCAAGAGCAGCAGCAATGTGGTGACCAGCAGCAGCAGGAACAGCAGGGCCAGGCCACTGCAACAGCCGCCGTTCCCACTGAGCAGGTAACGGATGGTAGCCTTTCACAATTCATATGAACATTGATGACGCCAGGGGCGATTGGCTTGATTCTAATGAGGCCTCCAAGCATTTAACGGGCGTTGAGTATCAAGCTTGGAAAGGCGAACAGCCACCTCTTGCTCACCTGCATAACTCTTGCAATATGTACGCTTGGTCCCTGGCAATGTCCACTACGGTATGTGCATCCAGCAAACCCTTCCACTGGAGGTTGGCGGCTGACATCCCTGGTTCCCAGCACCTGCCTGCCTGACACATCTGCCTGGTTTCGCGCTTTTGCGTCCCACCATTGCACAGCAGATCACAGGGCCCATCAATCTGGCATTTGGAGGGGACGGGGCAGAGGCAACAAGAGCAGGAGCAGGCAAGAGCAGGGGGTTGGCAACCACACCAGATGCAGCGGCAGGGTCAGCAGCAGTAGCAGCGGCGTCGGCAGCAGGGCCGCTGGAGGCGGCACGGACGCCGTTGTCGCCGCTGAAGGCCACGGCGTCAAGGGCGGGTCTGCTGTCAGCTTCGGCGACTGCAGCCGTGGAAGCAGTGCACAAGGAACCTGACGTGCAAGCCATAGTGCGCGCCGTAGAAGCGGACATCCGCAAGTACCACGACGTCACTGCCACGGGGCCGCCGCCGCCAGGGACGCATGTGCTGATCGACACTTTTGGAGTTGACCGCGACGGTGCGTGAAGTCGTTGTTATTGTTGTTGGCATCCGCTTTGGCGCTTCGCTGGGACAGCAGAGCGCACGTGGGAAATGACTGAGCACAACCGTTTGAGTGGCTGCCCGCCTTGGTTGGCAACAGATGCAAGTGCCTGCGCAGCAAACTTATGCGGTGCTCACATCCTCACCATCTGTTGCGTTCCATTTGCGGCGTTGATTTATCGCAGTGCTGGGCCCCGGCTCTATCGGCATCCTGCGGAGCAGCCAAGGGCTCATGCAGCGTGAGCAGGGGTGACTGCGGCCAGCGCGTGGGAGGGGGTTCTTGGGCATGAGATAGATAACAGCAGCCCCAGCAGCGATGCTGTGATCTTTGGTCTGATGCAGTACCTTTGGCCTGGATATGGGATTGAGAGGAGGCCTAAATCTTAGTGGGCACAGGAATCCTCGAAGTCCGGATCATGTCTTGTTCAACGACGTTTGACTAGAATGGCGGCTTGAGCGCCTGACTTTCCACGTCCGCCCTCCTGCATGTGCGCGCAACTTTGCCCACCCCCGCCTCTTGACCTCGCCAGGGGGTTATTTCATTGGGGCGGCGGGGCGGCTGAAGTACAACGCAGACAACCCAAGGGCCTTGCTGGGGGCGGGTGCCTGCGCATCGGTCTACAAGGGCGTGCTGTACCTCACCCCGAGAATGGATGTCGATGTTGCTGTCAAAGTGCGGGACTTTGAGCCCTGGGAGGAGGCCAAGGCGCTTGGGTCCGCCTGCCGCCTCGGCGGCCTGCTGCCCCTCCTGGCGCGGTCGCCCTCCCTTCTCACCACCTACCGCGTTGAGCTGCAGAAGCTGAGAGACGGCAGCTTTCGGCTGCTCCAGATCATGCCCATTTGCCCAAAGATGCTGGACGCCCTCATCGCCGAAGCCGCCACTCGCACGGAGCCGGGCGTCATCTTCCACGGTTCCCTCGGCACAGCGTGCCCGCTGCTCCAGCTGCCGGACCTGGAGCGGCCGATGCCCGTGGGTGCTCGCAACGTCAAAGGCACGCGGGCGGGCTGCCTGCTGCGGCCCCTGTCAGCTGGCATCCCCTGGCGCGAGCAGCGGCGCGTGCTGACCTCGGTGCTCAAGGGGCTGGCGGGGATGCACAACGCAGGCTTGGTGATGGTGGATCTGAAGCTGCACAACATCGGCCTGCTGGATGGGGTGAGCTGGGATGCGGGCTGCTGGCAGAACAGTGGTTAAGCGGGCAGCTTGGCATGTGGGGGTGCAGGAGCACAAGCTGCAATTTTGAGTCTGCAGTGGTGTGAGCTGCGAGCGAGGACTTACATCTCAGATGCGCCATGCCACACTCGGTCCGAACAGAGGCTCGGGCCTATCCACATGTGCTTGTTTTTGAAACCTGACGATGGCCACCGCCCTGCACATGACCACCGCCCTACACATCGCAATGACCGCAGCTCTCTCAGGCCGTGCTGCTGGACTTCGACACAGCCTGCATACTGCCATCGGCTTCTGGCGGCGCCGGCAGCTTTGTCTCAGTGGAGGGGTCATCGCGGGAGACCAGGGCGCCAGAGCTGGACGCACTCGCCCTGCGCCCGACGGCAGCGTCCGACATGTTCGCCTTCGGCATCATCGTGCTGCAGCTGGTGCTGGTGCAGCGGGAGGCCATGGCGCTGCGCGAGGCGGTCAGGGTGGCGCACGAGAGCGCTGACCCTGTCAGCGCCCTGGACAACGTGCTGTACCGCCTGCGTGTGCCGAGCCTCATCAAGGACTTCGTCCTTCCATGCCTTCACAAGGACCCAACGCTGAGGTGCAAACCTTTGACTTGTGCAACCTTGAAACTAACACAAGCGGGGAGGACAAGTTGTGCAATTGCCACCCGCCGTCCGGCAGGCTGGGCGCTGCTGGACGCGGCCCACCCGCGAGTCTTGCCAGGGGCTGTGCAGGCTTGCGGCCCGCTAAGAATTTGGAAACGTGAGCGCCGCTCACGCGCCAGCACGTGGGAGCAGACTCTGGATGTGCACTTTGACATCCAATAGATCCAAAGCTGTGGCCCTTCACCTGAAGGTTACTTACTCGATCCAAATCCCCCGCCGCCCCCTGGCCAAAGGCCCTCCGCACCCCAGCTGCTGGACAGCCTGGTGGCGCTGCCGGACGACGACCTCATGGACGAGCACCTGACCGCTGAGCTGGGCTGGGGCCAGGAGGAGGAGATGCTGCGCTGCTTCGTGCTGCAGGCCGCGCAGCGGGAGAAGGACCTGGCCGACGCGCGCGCGGTAAATGAGGAGGGCGGTGGGGGGGAGGCGACTGCCACGCGGCTGCTGGCCAACATGGCCGAGCTCAACGAGCGCAAAAATGCTGCAGGGAGGGCGAAGCTGGATGACCTGCTGGATATGGCCAAGGAGTTTTCCAGGCGGCTGCTGTGATGCAAACGTTGATGTGGTGTCGCCAGAGTGGGTTGCTGCGAAGCGTGGGAACTTGTTCAAAACAGAATCCTGTTTTGTCCAGCATTCAGAGTCGAGGCTCTAACTGGGTTTGACGCCTTGCGCTGGGCAACAGCATTGGTGTGCCTTCAACCTGGATTAGGGCTCCCCAACCGCTTCGCCATGGATTCGTCATGGCGGCTGCACTGCGCTGCCTGGCCTTGAGCCCGCACCGAGCGCCCTGAGCTGTACACCATCGCCTGTAATCATGCGTGGGATGGTGCTGATGCATGGGGGTACTTCTAGCAGCGCTCCACAGATTACTGCATTGATGGCGAACACAAGCCTAGGTCTGTACTGACTAAGGGTGACTGTACAGCGGTTACATGGCAGGAGAAATCAGGTACAAGACACAGAGGAGAATTTCAAAAGCAAGTTGTCTTTTTTCAAGGTGTGAGACCGAGTATATGTGCAGGCTATCTGTAAGACTGTGGGCATCTGCCGAAAGGGAAGCCTGGGCAACTCATCAGCCAGCCCACGGCCTTGCAGCTGACTGCTTCAGCACTCTTTGTGAATGGAATGCATTGACCTTTGCGTCGACGTCACGAGTGTGAACTGCAGCAGCCAGGTGCTGGGCTGGGGAGCAATCAGCAGACCTGCACATGGTGGCTTGGGGGTTTTGTGACACTGGTGCCGGTGTGCGAGCTTGTCTACGCTGCCACTGGTATACGCTACTGCCGCTGCAAAACGCATGCTGCATTATTGGGTATATATAGGCACATTTCAAATGCGCAGATCTCCGCCCTGATCGAACGCTGCTGTCACCATGCCTTTGTGAGAGACAACGATGATATACGTGAACTGTTACACGCATAATTGCACTTGAGTGACGAGTAAGTGCTACCCTGTTCTGTGGCGGCAGCAGAAGGACACTAGCAGCGTCACACAGTATGGTCGCAGCGGCAAAGCAGACTGCCGCGCCAGCCGCCCCTGCTGGCCCTGCGCCGGTCCCGCTGCCGCCCGGCGAGCAGGACCGCCGCAGCTGCGCCAAGGTGATGCTCCACGTCAGCAAGCAGCTGCGGTCCATCAAGCAGCGCACGCTGCTGCGCCTGGAGCAGAGCGGCCGCCTCGACCGCGCCGCCGCGGGCAGCTACGAGGCCTGGGTGCGCGCGCGCGGCGCGGCGGCGCGGGGCGGGTACCTGCGGCCGACCGACGCGGCAGCGGAGGAAGCTGCGCGGGAGCTGGAGAAGCTGGTGGTATCCGCGCTGCTGGAGCCGACTGTGACGCTGCCCATCCTGGCGGTCAGCCTGCAGAACAAGGTTCGCAGCTCCAATGCCAATTTGAAACCGCCTGCAGTCAGGTTGCAAGCGCGGGCAACACGTCTTTAAGGAGGAAGAGCTTGGCGACAGGAGGAGGGGGGACGCAGCTGGGGCAAATCATATGGGCAAGACGGATCGGAGGCAGGCAGACCAGGATGATTGGCAAGTCGCGGTGAGGGATGACTCGGCACCTGCACTGTCGGCCCTGCGTTTTTTATTCCCCTTCTCCTGTCTACCCGCCTGGTCAACCCTCGGTGCCCCTTGCAGCTGCTGACCGGCAAGAATTCTGACCGCTTCAGGTTCTTGCTGAGCACGCTCAAGCTTCAGGTGCGTGGGGCGGTTGGCGGCGGTTGGACGCTGGTTGATACTAATTGGCAGCTGTGCTCGGCACAGCTGACGGGAAAAGGGTCGCTTAACAGTGTCGGCAGGTGATATCTGGGCGGTGGTGCACACACTAGTATGGCTGGAAGCGGGGCTACCGGGGGCATGTTGCATGCTACTTTTGAGGGCTGCGTCATGCGCTTCCTGGTGCTCGCGGTGGCTGGTAGTGCTGCAGACAGCCAGGGCGGGGCGCAAGTGCTGGCAGATCGGACTTGAGGGTGGGGGAAAGCACCGCGCAGCCATCGCTGTAGCGCCAGGGACGTCTACTCTGCACCGTTTGGGCTGTCACAGCGCGAGCCTTCCCCGGTTCGTCACTGCCTTGGTGCACTCCCAAGCACCCTTCATCTCAACCTTTCTATGCTGCACAACCAGCGCGTGGCTGCTCCTGCTACCCTCCTGACGATTTGCAACGTCACGCCGGCGCCCCAAATCTCCTTCCTTCACCCACTCGAACTGCCGATCTCCCAACCAAAGCCTCGTCCAAAACTTTTCCCTCCACATGTGCTCGTCGTCGCGCGCGCGCCCCTCCCTCTCTCAGGGCGTCGACCCCGTGGTGCTGCAGCTGGCGTTCGGCCCCGCGCAGTGCCTTGAGGTGATGGATGCGGACGTCAACGGGCGGTGGCACCTGTTCATCATTCGCGCAGACGGCGAGGCGGTGGCCAGGTGCGCCCGCGCGCCGCCACGCACGGACCCCTTCCTCGGCCCAAACCCCGGCTTGCGACGCGTCAGTGGGTCGGGCCGGGCTGCCGCGGCGGCTGTCATGCGGGCGCTGGCCTTGGCGCTGCATCCAGCGGGTGCGTCTTGCACTGCCGCACCTCTAACACCCGCGGCCCCTCGGTGTTCCAACCCCCTTCCCTTCGCAACCACCACGATTCCCGCTTGGTCCACACCACCAAAGCGAGCTCCTTCCTCTTTGGATGCCAAATTTTGTCCCCCCTGCCTCCCGCCCACGCCGCGCACTGCCAGGCACACCGGCGTCGCGCCGCCCAAGGAGCTGCTTGCAGCCAACAGGGCGGTGTCCCCGTGGCGCCTGGGCGCCGCGGGCGTCAACCTCGCAAAGGCAGCGGCCCTGGGGGTGCGCGAGTGGCTGCCAAAAATGCCCGAGTGGCCAGAGGCGCTGGGGCGGCCGCTGGCGTGGGAGCCTGGGCCTGAGAAGCGGCGGCGGCTGGAGGCGGAGGGGGCGGCGAGGCAGCAGCAGCAGCAGCAGCGGGAGCAGGACGGGTGCGGGGGCTGGTCAAATTGCGCGCGGCGTCCTGCCTGCATCATCACCAGCAGCGCGGTTGCCCAACCCGTGTCGGGCTTCATGCTACGGTGCTGGTGGTAGTTCTGCTCTCCTGCCTCTGCCTTCTGAGACAGCTCATCTGCGCACCTTCCTTTTGCTTGGCCCGTCCACGCTGCGACGTTTGCCAAGCCCACCATGGGGCCACATCCCTGGCCCACAGGCATCAGGCAGACCCAGTCAACCGACGCCAACCGACCCCGCCCGCCGCCAGCCGTCACCGTCCGACCACCACCGACCCGGCCCGGCCCCCAATTGTCAACAACCAACCTCAACCAACCCCGACCGCCCCAAACGACCCCAACTGACACATACCGACCCCAACCACCCCAACCAACCCCAACCAACCCCTGCAGGGACCAGGCCGACATCGGCCACCTCGTGGTGGAGCTGCTGCAGACGCCCAGCGCGCGGGAGCAGATGAAGCGGCGGGAGTTCGAGTCCTCGGTGGGCCGCTTTTTTCACTGCTGTGTTTCGAGTTGGGGTTCAGGCCACATGCGGGAGGCGTGCGGGCGTTGCCTGGGGGAGACGCCGGATGGGAAGCCTACTTGCTGCAATGTGTTGAGCCCTACGGCTGTCTTGACAGGCTGGGTGGGTGGATGGGTGGGTGGGTGAGTGGGTAGGTGGGTGGCGATCACAATGCAGCCGCGTTTCGAGTCCCTTTGCGGTAGCTGCTGAATGTTGGGGTGCGTCCGCACGCTCGCGAGCGAAGCCGCACTCACCCGCCCGCGCCCTGTCTCGCAGGGCGGTGCGTCGGTGCGGGTGCCGTGCCCGCACCTGACAAAGGAGGCGTGCTGCGCCGTCAGGGGCACGGCTGCGCCCTGCGAGGACCGCCACTTCAAGTGAGCGGCAGGCCTCACACCTCGCCCTCCCTTGGGCGGGCTGTGAGAGGGGGTGGGGCGAGCTTCACGCGCTGGGCGGACAGGGGAATCACATCCTGTGTGTGTGTGTGGGGGGGAGGGGGCATGTTTTTTGAGGGATCCCCCCCCTACGTGGGGGTTGGTATGGGGGGCTTCACAAGCCTAAGCGGGCACCGCCTGCTGGTGGGCGCCTTGCACTTTGAGGCTGCTGCCCTCGTGGCGTGGCCCGCCACCTGGACGGCCAACTGCGCAGGAGCCGGCTGCCCAGCTTCCCGCCGTGCTCACCCCAGCACCCCCAGCCTGCACTATCGCGCCCCACCTCACAACCTCTCCTGATGCCGCGCCTTCCCTTGGGCGTCAT